ATGCAGACTTGGCTTAGTTTTAGCTACAAAGCCGACTGATGAAAAATCAACACAGTCAGCTGTCGGTTCATTGCATTCACTTCTCTGAGTAACAGGTTGGGGGAACGTCTTCAAATCTGGCACTGTTCAGTTGGACTGATTAGAATTTTGTGGTCAGAGGTCAAATGTCAAAGTCAATGGGACGTCATAATACACACATTTTTGTCCATAACATAAGGATTCCTGTGGTAATCATCACAAAATTTCCCATAAATGTCTCATAGAATAAAAAAAATGACGTGGAGACACTTTATATCCAAAAAGTCAAAGGTCAGCATCACAGTCACATCCCTAAAAAACACTTTTCTAAGTCCATTGCACAACTCAGGAACAAAAGAACACATTTGTTAGTCTCCCACCTTTAAACTGTGGTGACATCAGATCTCCTACCAGAGTTAAAAATGTACATGAAGTATCCACATCTTAGAAATTGCAGCTTCTTTGCAGCAACATCCAAAACTAAATCATCGTCTGCTATCGTCACTATGACTTTGTGTTCAATCAGCTGGACTGGCCAAACCTGTGAACACATACAAGGACTTTGATTCTGTTCATTGCTCTTCTCAATGAATTAACACACTTGGCTACGGCTAATACATCAGTCTAGGCCGTAGGTTGTACATCAAAAATGTTCATATCCTCTGGGCTTGAAAAGTGAAACCAGAATTGACTTAAATCTGCATTTTTTCCTATTGACCACCAGGGGGCGACTTCAATTGTATAGCAGTCAATGAGAAAATGACCCTGATTCTCATTCAGTTTGTTACCTCAGTAAACATTTTCCTAATGAGTTTATGGACTCACTTAATGTTTTCAAGTCTCTGTCAATACAGAGTGTGTTAATTTTGTAGATTATGGTCCCATTTAGAGTAAAATAGATGATAAAGCAGGGCATGTTTTAGATCTTCTGAGCGTCTATGGGTGTGGCCAGTGTCCTCAAGTTCTCAGTCAGATCCATCCGCTGCTCATCATGTCTAAAATGGACGACCAAATGCCGAACTAGAGGCTTCAAAAAAGCAGTTCACGGATAAAAGTGTCTGGACAAACATGTATGCAACATGACTAGTTGGAGGAGGCATACCACCTCGAGGACGTAATTCTAGTTTACATCCAGCAGGACTATAGATAGCTAGGATGCTAAAAATACTGAGGTCAGTTCAGCAGTTGTAACGTCTTACAGTTTAGTTCTTACAGAGTAGTAAATGAGCAAAGTAGGCAACTTTCCTATAGTCCCAGAACAAGGATCAGATTCACTGTACAGTTTTGGCAAAACAGCTATTTTTTTTTTGTTTAGTTCTCTGAAAAGCTTGTGTCACTTTTTGTTGAATAGCAATAACATCTACTAAAGTGAATCTCAGGTGAGTAAAGTAACCAAGTTGGCCGTGCACAGGCTTGGTGTGGCTCAATTTAATACAATATGTAGTGTAGAAATCATTATCATACTGATGTAGCTGCCGAGGGTTAGATTTGTAATATTCAGAGTTTTTTTTTTTAAAACTCTGTTTATTTTTAATTATGAATTTTTAAGGTTGCTTTGCAATTAGCACTAGTTAGTAACCTTAATTTTGTTGTATTTTGTGCAATGCAGTGACAGTAAAGGCTTCTATTCTACATTACTGAAAAAAATTGTGGTTCAATGTCAAAATGTGTTTCCTACCTTTATTGTCTGCTGTGTTTGTGTGAAATAGAGTGTTTAAAGGCCCAGAGCCAGCTCATAAAGCCCTGCGGCCCTGTACTCGCTGCTCTGCATGGTTGGATTCACCCTCAAGGGATTATTATTTATAAGAAAGATGCTCTACATCTTTTCATGAAGCCACATAGCGATCATGAGCCTAAAACTGAGCCCAGGTTTGACCTTCAAGTTGATTCATTATCAGACATAAACAAGAGCTGGGCTTTAATGCCTCAGAAGTATACAGGACCTATAGGTGACTCCTGCACCAGCGAGGCCACACACAGAGGCCTGCCGGACCTCAGGCTGTTTTCCCGGCCTCCGTCGCCTCACGGGAGACCTCCAATTGCCCCGTTAAGAGCCCTTCAAAATACACATCCCCCTGTTTTATAGACACGGAAACAATTTATGGCCATTATAGAGCATTATAGATAGAATCTACAAAACTTCCCGTTGTTGGCTAAACGTCTGCCAGAGTGGACACACACACACACACACACACACACACACACACACACACACACACACACCCCAAAGAGTTAACAGAGAGAGAAAAAGAAAACAAAGATGCAAAGGATTTTGTTTGTTGATTTGGGGTTAGCTGTTAGAGAGATTAGGCTATAAAAAGAAGCAAAATAAAACATGAAGGCGGCCTGCGAGTCCAGCGGACCACCCAGAATCCTGCTGGAGGTGGGGGAGAGGAGCTCGAGTCCAGCGCAAGACGAGCTGCTGTTGATGTGGCTGGACTGGACAGTCTACATGTCTGTTACCATTCAACGGTTTTATATCAAATCAGACACAATCGAGCAATCTTGCACTGCATAGAGATGAGTTTCACATTTAGTCTCAGCTACTAACTGGTCATGTCGAGTGAAAACCTGATTTTGTAACACTCATTTCTAATCTGAAGTATTTCTCCGTAACATTAAATATTAGAGTGATCTTTTTCCAAACCTTCATCAACAGAGACACATTAGCTTAAAACCAAAGTATTCTGGCAGAGTTGTGTCTTCATGCAGGATCTCATCACCCAGAGTAAGATGAGCTCTAATATAAATATACTAAAACCATGAGGGGGAAGCTTCGGGTTCGTACTGATTCAGCGGGGAGGCAGTCGGAGGTCGAAGGTCGGCTTCACCGTGGGTTTGTTGCTTCCTTACAGTCCGTTGATAACTTTTGACCGTCACTCTGAGTTTCACTGCGGACTACGTTTGGCAAAACATTTCAGAAACCCAACTCCGCCTTAAGCAGCTGCTGAATAAGCACACCACAGAGATGCTATCAAAGGTCATTATGGGGAATCCAGTCCAGTGTTTTTGGTGTTTGACCCACAGTCAGGATGCCTTCACCACCTCAGACTGAATCACACCATTTCTCTTAAATATTTAGTCTTGTACAAGCTACTCAGCTGTATTAACCCTCTGAGCAACTTGTGGGCATTTTTGTTTTTGCTGATTTTTACTCACTGTGGGAACTTTTTTTACTGCAGAGTGGAAACAGCACAACCATGGCTAGAAGTAGAGAGAGGTCAGAAGTGACAAAACCATAAATCATGACAAATTCTGCGACGATTTGTGCTAAATAAATTTTGGGAAAAACTCTACAAACTTTATGTTTTTAATGCTGCATGACATCTAGAAAGATGTTTCACCATGCTGATTGTATCTTCCAACAACTGACATCTTGCTCCTCTGTCCTCCTGTTTTCAAACCATGTTGTACTTATTAATCTTATCCAGCATGTTTTATTTTTCTTAGTCTTGCTTATTGTTTCCTTTCAGTTAGTTGTAGTTTTTTTTTCAGGATTGTTTGTGTGCAAAAGCTTTATTTCTGCTCAATTTTTCAATTGTACACGCAGCTAGGATAAAGGGATTTTGAGGAATTTTTACAATTTTACATTTATCTTTGGGTGACAATACCATACGTGACTAGTTCATAGGTTGCCTGACATTAAAAATAACAGTTTCTGGCTCTGACAAATGGTGTAATTTTGGCGATTATTGAAGAAAACATGCGTTTCTAATTAAATGATGAGTTTCAGGGTTAAGAGAGATTAAGAAGACTGGGCCTAGTGAAGTATTTAAGCTATCCCTTTAGTTCCAGACTATATTGAAATCAGACCAGTGTTGATTAACATTCATCAGTCAATATAAGACCACAATACACAATGTAGCATAGTATCACACTGTGAGATGACCTGGTAAATGTTTATTATTAAAAGACTCATCAAGAGCTATTTCTACCCAAGCTCCCATTTTTATAAGATTAGAAATGAGCTCTACCAATTCCACACATCAAAGTGTGTTACAGTGTTTTGTATAAAGTTGTTTGTGGCTCCAGAAGGAGCTACATAAAATCAGTTGTCAGTGCCAGCTGGGTCTGAAGACTACAAGAAAAACAAATCTGTGGTGTGGAGTTTGACAGAAAGTGAGCCTCGCAGGAATCTGTGGCTGAAGGCTACGTTCGCTGCTTCTATCACGATACACCTCAATCTCCACACAAACTCCGAGCAGACGGGTTGCACTGTGGGTAATGTAGGCCGATGGTTTTTGGCAAGAGAGGAGAATGTGTTGGATGGAAGCGACTCTTATTATGCTGAGTGGATTTTTTTTTTGCTGTTTATTAAGCGGCCCATTGTAAGTGATAGCTTTCATTCACTGCTCTATAAAGGTCAACAGCTCAGGGTTGTTGTGTGCTGCTGGAAATACTGCTCGGCCTGCTTTGCCCAGCAGCTGTATTATGTAGCCTAAAGCAACTTTGAGGGGGAGCAGGACTGGCACGTTATGAAGGGGATTTTCATGTTTGATTGGTTTTGAGTGCTTTCCCTGCCGTGATCTCAACCTTTATTGTCAATGAGGCATCTCTGAGTTAAAATAAAGGTTGATTGATGGTTAAAAATGAGGCTTGATTGCCGTTTTTTTAACTTCAAAATGAGGCATTTTTTTGCTAAAAGCATGTAAATAAAAATCACCTGATGGGAGAAAACATGTCGATTTAAAACATATTAACTTTCAAGTGGTTGTTAAAGAAACACGGGTGGTGCAGGAGAGTTGAGACGAGTCCTCAGACCTGCAGCTTGTTCCTGGAGAGCAGCTGGGCCGAGGAGGGGAGAGGGGGGCTGGATGGAGGCAGCCGTCATCAGCAGAGCTCTCAGTGAGTGTCAGCTGCCTGAGCAGAGCATGGTGGCAGAGCAGAGCAGCAGGACAGGGTGCAGCTGCTGGGCTTTGGCCAGGACGCTCCGAGGAGCCCAAACACTTTAGATGCCGCATCTGACTCCTCAAAGTGTCGAGATGTTTGACAACTCCAACTACCCCTTCAACTGCTTCAACTACGATGGGGACGGATACCCTTCATCCAGCACTGACGAAGAGAAGAAGATGTGTAGACCCGCGTACAGGTAAAGCTTTTACCTCATAAAGCTTTTCTTTAAAAAAAAAATCTGGATAACAACATTGTGTTTTTTTTACTGTATTTCATCAATTGCAATTCTATGAGGGAACCGAGTTCATTTTTAATAGTTTTTGTCCTCTTATTAAAGTGTAAACTTGCTGTAAAAAAGCTCCAAAAACACATCGCATAACATTTTCTTGCTTTAACCAGCAGCTATTTCTACTATTTAATAGATTTGACACAGAAAAAACAAACTTATCCATCAAATCATAAGATAAGTCGCATCAGTGCACGCTACATAGTGAGGTCAACGCCTCACAATATTACAGTGATTTAAGGCATCTTTTAAAACTAAAGACAAATTCAAAATAATATTTCTGAGCTGTGTCTTTGCTAACTTAATTTTCTTCTGTACTTGGCATTGTTTTATCAGCTTGAGACTCCAGCTGTAAAAAAAAAAAAACAGTTCCATTCAATGAACTTCAATGTGCTGCAAAACAGCACTGAGCTTCCAAGATAAATGTCTGTGTTTTGGGGGTTTTATAACAGTGTTGTTGTTGTTGTTGAACATGGTTCCAGAGTTTTAAGTGAGAACTAGACTTCTAAATTACACCACACATGAAACACTGCATTCCTTTGTTTGTAATGAGTGTTTTACGGCTATTTTTGGGATTTTGTCATCATCATAAATTATGAAACCAAGTGTGTAGCAAAGAGAAAGGTTACTTTTGTATATTTGGAGATAAAATCAAATACCAATTTTGGGAAAAAAACATTTAGTTGAAATGACCATGAACATGTAAAACGGTGGGATTGTTCCGGATCGCTCATGAAAAGCTTCTTTATCACGATGATGTCTTTTATTCACCTTGCGTGTCTCTGTGTGTCAGCTACATCGCGCTGATAGCCATGGCCATCCAGCAGAGCCCTGAGCAGCGGGTCACTCTGTCGGGCATCTACGAGTTCATCATGAAGCGGTTTCCTTACTACCGGTCCAACCAGAGAGCCTGGCAGAACTCCATCAGACACAACCTGTCTCTCAACAGCTGCTTTATCAAGGTAAAGACAGCACAGTGTGCAGGGAGAACTAGGAATATGAGAATGGTAACTGGATTTGTACTTTTTTTTTCAGTCTTTCACTTTTTGTTTTTTTTGTATGTGATTATATTTTCATAATTTTCGAAGGACTAAAGCTGTAGAAGCAGTAGTGGAAGTAGTTATGTTTCCTGTTCTCATAGTTTTAGTGTTTTTATTCCTCTAATTACTGGTTGTAGAAATATTTTTGTTCTAATATTATTAAATATATATAATTAAGTACTTTTCCTCCCCCAGGTTCCTCGGACTGAGGGCAACGAGAAGGGAAAGGGAAACTACTGGACTTTTGCCACTGGCTGTGAATCCATGCTCGACCTGTTTGAAAACGGCAACTTTCGGCGTCGCCGCCGTCGGAGGAACGTGAAAATTGGCCTCCGTGACTCAGGAGAAACCCCTTTCCACCCTCTGGAGAGCCACAGCAATCAGCACGGACCCTCGGCTCGGCGCCCCGAACCCAGCTCCACCCTCTGCCCTTTGAACCCTGAGAGGCCGAGGCCCCAACAAAACCACCTGGTGCCCAACCCCAGCCAGCAGAGCAAACCAGAGTCAGAGATCAAGTTTAGCATTGACTACATCCTTTCCACTCCAGATCCACCCCTGCCAGGGTTCAGGTCCTCACACGGCCCCGTACATATAGGGCCCACGGGGCCACCTATTCACGTTCTGGAGCCCCAACAACTGAACCTGCACTTCTGGACTCTTTAAGAGGAAAGACTGAACTCACTCCTTCATCATTGTCTGTGTCCAAAACTGGGAACTATGAGGACATCCAAAGACAGGAATTCCACAGGAGGAATTTTACTTGAAAATGTAAATGAGGAAACAAAATAAAGAGGTACAGTATTGTGTGGTGGACTCTAGATGGAGAAAATCATTTAAAGACAACATCTCACTGACTGAGAATTCATCCTAAAGATTAACTGTGAACAGAAGTAATTCAGTAAAGCGTCCATATTGTCTCTATGCTGTTTGTGCGGTGTCTAGTGCTGACATAGACTAGTTTGACAGTATTCTCTAAATGTATATACACAGGAACTGTGAGCACTTAACTATGATGTGTTTAAAAATGATTTAAAATCCGTTGAAGCAAAACACACATTTGTTTGGGTTTTTTCATAAAAGAAAAAAAAAATTCCCTTGATGCCTGTAATTCTTTAAACCATCAGTTTAGTTACATCAACTGCCTGCACACACTGAAATACCCAGAAACTATGAAACCACTAATATTTTTAATCCAAAGCGTCTAGATGACTCATAATGCGCTGAAGTGTTTCACATTTTACCCGTGAAAGCTGCACAGTAGAGCCACAGTCTTCTAACTCTGCACACATTGTTCTGAACAGTGAAGCAACAACAAGCAAATCACATTTCTGAGCGGAACGGGACTCGAACATTTTAACTGTTCTATGAAAAACAAACAAAAAAAAAAAAACTCAGCTCTGTCTAAGTAAAAAAAGAAGAAAATGATCTATATTTTAGCTTGACTTTTCAGCCGCAAAGCTTTCAAAACGCTCCAACCAGATGCATTATGAGAAGGAAAGCTGCATCCAGGTTTTCCGCTGACTACTGCACGTCTCCTCTGCTGTATTCCTGCAGTAACAACCAACAAAGATGCCAGTCAGCCGCGACACACAGCGTCAGAGTAAAAGCTACGTTGTTGTAGAGGCTTTGTGTAGAGCAAAAACACAAATATAGAGAAAAAAATGCAATAAAAATAACTGCAAATTAGTAAAATGAGAGTAAATAGAGCAGTTTGAAAGTGCAGGTGTAAATGATAAAATGCTGAATCCCGTGTAGCAGCTTCTGCAGCATTCTGGCTTACCGTTGATCCATGTGTCCACTAATTCTATGCAGATATAAGCATTTTATTTTTTTAGCACTTTGAGTTTTGATCAGAAATCTGCAGAAATAAATGCATTCCCTGATTTTATTGCTAATTTCAGTGCATTTTAATTTGTTAGTTTTCTTGTAAGAATTCACAACCTAGTTGGAGTTACTGCATAGCGTAAGGATGGCTGACACTGTCGTGGTTTATTGGGACGCTTGATCAGTCATTGTTAATGTTATTAGTACCATCAGTGCTTTTCCTGTTACGTCAAATCCAAGCGTCTGCAGTGAAGAAGGCTGATTCTGACTGAACTCACTTGTTCAAAAGCCAATTTCTGCCCACATTTTTTATTTTTTCTTCTTCCTCTGACCTTTTGCAATCCTGATTGACTGACACTTAAATTCTAATCCAGTCACTCCTCATTACAGCCCCTTGTATTCACGCACTTAAAACGGGGCCTAACAAAAAACCCAGGTCTGACTAGCATTTCTTTCCCGAACAAGGGAGATCAATCATGGCGTGTTCCTGTGCCGTCGAAGGGACATTTTTCAATTTAACCTTTATATTATGTCTTGACTACATCGGAGGAGGGTTTCAACACACTTAACATGAGTGGCATTTAATATAGCATAACACTTGCAAGGTGAGGCCGAGAGGTGACCCTATTTAAATACCGGGGCCCCCTTTTCCCCGGCTTAAACAGCGGCACCTTCCCCCAACGCGCACGCCGCCAAAGCCCTGACGCAGTTATAATTAAACACACCTTATGCACTCCTTTGCAAATGCCCCCTCATCGATCTGCGGCTCTTTTTAACATTCATATGTGAACTGCCCCCCAGCGAACGTCGAGCGTTTATGGATCAGCAAGTTTCCATTAACAAAGTTGTTGATGTTGAGGAGCAGGGGCCGCCGCCGCCACCACGCCGCGGATATATTTGGGTAAATTAACTTAGCATAAAGTGCTCGGAGGCTACGGGAGTCTTTGGAGGCGGCTAAAGAGAAAGCCAAGGCACCAGTCAGGCCCGAAAAGTCAATGCACATATTACGTTTGTCAGTGAATGTGTAAAAGTGTAGCTACTGGCACCGTGTCCCCCCATCAATGGCCTCTATTAAATAACTATTCTAAATTCATCCGGTTTGTTTCATTCCCGCCTAATCCGTCCGACACCTTTTTTTTTTTGAGCCCGTTGTTTATAATTACCTCCATAACGCTTCTCATTTATAGACGCGTTTGTTTGAGACTTCATTACAGGTAAAATGAGCAGCTGAGGGCGAGAGAACGGTTGAAGTGCAGGTGGAGGGGGAAATTGGGAAAGCACTGATCTGCGACGTTAATAACAAGTAAATCATAAACACAATTAGGTCGTTTAATTTTGAGTGCTTGTTTCGCGCTTTGATTGCAGCCGAGGCCGTGGCGAGGACTGCGCGGATGAAGATAAATATTAAGCCGACTGTTTTTGTTCTAATGAGAACGTTGAATGTAATTCTATCGGGGCTCAAGTGTTTTTCCCTGAGCTGTGGTTGGAGTGTGAATGGATGGAAGCGAGTGAAGGCACTGATATCAATGTGAGCTAGCAGCTAATGAAGATCAGTGAAATAGCCTGAGGACTTTGACATACACACACATCTCTGCCCTTTGCCATATGCAGAGTTGCAAACCACTCTAAGGCTGCTGGAATATGCTATTATATTTTTTTTAAATGGCTTCAAGTGTGTGTGTGTGTGTCAGTAATGAGAAAATCAACACAGCATGTCAATCAATGGCACAAGTGTTTACGTTTCCACTGTGGGAAGGATGTCCCTGCTAGGAATGCAGGAGTCGACTGGAGGTGACCAGGAGGGTTTTAAAAACCAAAAAGAAAAAAAAAGGATAATAGGCAATTTAATAGAAGCAAAAGGGCTTGACATTCAAATGGAAATGTAACTCAGAAATCTGCCAGATATCTGTTTAAGTTTTTGTCACTTCTCATGTGGTAAACACGACACCTTCAGAGAAGCTCCGGGACACACGTTGAAGGTTTTGTTGGAGCGCAGACATGCAATTAAACAAATAAAAAAGAACAGTGTGCGGTATGATGTGGTAGATAGCGGCCTTACACAATGCCACAGGGTTGGATCTTTTGGATTCAACAATACTTGAGCATTTTAAATTTGGGTCCCTCAAGCTGTCCCCATAATAAAGGCAAACCCCCCTCCAAATATTTTAAACTCAACTAAGGAACTATCTAAATTCTTTCCTGTCCCTTGATCCACCCTCTGAATTACATTATATACACTAACTACAGGTCTTATGAGAATTTAATGCCACCCCACTAAAAACACATTCACTTAGTATTTCTGACCTCAAGTTCTTACTGAAAATGAAGATTTGCCACAAATACAGAATTTCATTGATAAAAAAAAAGACTTCTTAAAAACCTGGGCATGGTCGATTTAGCAAATGCTGCTTTAGCCGGTTTAAACATCACATTTTTTATGGGTTATGTCATCAGCCCACTACTTTAATCAGTTATTTGTCTCTCTATGCTTTCCAGCCCCAAGGTTTAAATATTTAAATATATGGATTAAAATTTAGATAGGCACTGTAGTTTTAACAAATGCGACTTTACACTAGCAGGCATAAACAGTGTATTTATTATTTGTTTTCAGCAGCGTATCTGGCACACTCCTGGGTATCCAGGACAGCAGGAAGATGTATGTGGGACTGACAGGAAGTGGTTTATCCATTCTGTTGAATCCACATCTTTCTGATGCAGCCACATTTAAACTTAACCAGAGTTTTCTAGTTCATGCAACATGTACTAAGGCTGAGTTCTTCCTGCAGCACTTTGATTTCCAACATGGGATCTTTATTGCACGTCATCTTCTCTCTCCAACCTTTCCTGTTTCTCTTCAGCTGCTCCCATAATAAACACAAAAAAACCCAAATAATCTTCAAAACAAATAAAAAAATCGTCTATTCTGACTACAAGTATTTGTGAGAATTTAGCACATCTTCACCAAAGCAAGGCCGTCAGTTCGTCTCGTTTTGAAAACACACCATAAATATATAAATTTTGTTTTTTTAAGACTCCCTAAAAAGTTGGACAGTGTACTATTATAGCCAGCGTTTGGTGTCTCATCCTAGACGAGCATTCCACAAAACTTGCTGCTTAAATAATCCTGAAGAAACACTCTCTCATCTTGCCTGTACTACTGTGTAGGTACAGCAAAATGACAATGAACCTGATTTGATTTGATTAACAAACACTTCCTTAGCAGGTGTAACTTTTTTTAGGGATTACTTTCAGCATCACATGTGCACTAATGAGTCCTTAAGGCTTTAGGAAGCTGTGCAGTATGTGGGTCTGACTGGAGAGAAAGTATCATGTCCATTTTCTAAATCATGAAGAAGCATGTCAGCCAGGGCAGCCACAGGCTTGTTCATGTGTTTTTAATAGTTGTGGAACCACAGTGGAGTTTTACAGCAAACACGACAAAAGATCAAGTCTTTGTTATACAAAGTTCATTGTTGGTTTTGATGTATTTATGAAGAGAAAAGGAAAAACACATTCTAGTGATACAGCCAAGTGTTCCATACCTCTATGAATAAGGATGTATTATAATCTGAGACCTTGAATGCATCCCAGAAGTTAACATCAGCATCACGGTGCTGGTGAGCTGACTGGATGTCGCATGTAAGGCAGGTGATTGTGTCTCATAACCAAGTTCTGTGATGCAAAGCAGATCCATTGCACTGCGTTAGTGTGACATGCAATGCAACTACAATGCACCACAGCTCTGGGCAGCACTTCCTCTCACACGTGGTGAAGGGGTGGAGATGTGTTCTGTGTTTTTGTTAACCACAGGTATGGCAGATACATCTTCCTGGCTCTGTTTCCGTCTAGCTGAGTTCTCCACGCAGCTTGACCTCTGACATGTGCACCGTCAGGCTCGGCGCTGCAGCCACCAGGGTGTGCCAACGAACTGGAATTCAAAAGGCACCATCAATCTGGAGTCGGAGACAACGAGGATCCTCCATGTTTCCGCTCTTCGGTGAATTCTCGACTGATCCGACAGCTTTATGTCGCTCGGGCTTCTGCAAACACATGTTAAAACATTTGGGTGAATATGCTGTCTGGCGTGACTAATGTGTGATCTGGGTTTGAAGGGGACAACAGTCACAGCTAAGTAGCATGCTGCCACACAAACAGAAGGCTTACTCATACAAACAAGCTGCACATTGTGCCTCCGCTGACAGAAATAACTGGTGCACGGCTCTATTTAAACACTTTTCCTCTAGTTAGTTACAGAATTCTGCTACAAAAGGACACATTTCTCAAAAGGTTGTCGTTTCATTCTAATTTTTCATCACTGATCCAACTAAAAAAAACACAAAAAGCATCCGTTTACCTGCTAGAGAAATCCAGCAGCAGCAGCAGCGGCTCTGTTGGGGGATTTTAAACAGAAGTCAGCTGCCCATTGTAACATGGCACACTGACTCAAACAGGGCTCCTGTGTGTTCCAGTCTACTGTCCGACAGACACACCCCTCTTTCTTGACCGGGAAAACGCTCCAGTGACCGAGGCAGAATATGAGGGGCCATGTTTGTGGGATGAGGCGATTCCTGGCGACCAATGGGGAAGCCCCTGGTGTGGGGCCCATGGGCCTCTTGGGAGAGGTGGGGGGGTGGTGGTGTGTGTGTGGGTAAGGTGAATGAAAAGGGTTTACTACAGGTCAGCTCCAGCTATTACCATCTGAGGAGGGAGGAATGGTGAAGACTGGAGTGGAGGCAGCACATTGAGCTTCAGGAACGACGTCGTGTGGATAAAAAGTCTTCATCCTTTGTGGAAGTTGAAGCTTTTTTTGACAAGAATTTACTAAAATATATTCTTCCATGTCAAAGTGAAACAGATTTCTAGCAAATAATTACAAATATAAAACAGAAAATAAGCTAAAATTGGGATCTTTAACAAAGGCTTAATGCTGTGATTGCAGCCAAAGGTGCATCTACTGACTTGAACCTCTTAAGATCTGGTGTCCACATGCATGGACATCACACTCTGGGTTATATTACCACAGTAGTTAATTTGTATTATTTTATTATTATTTATGATGATTTATTTATCTTTAATTTTAAAAAGTACTGTCATTAATATTTTTTGCATTAATATTTTAAACTTAATTCATATATTTTTCTTTTTCACGTTATTTTTTTCTTCACTTTGTATTGCTGTAACAAAAGGATGCTACAGCAATATTTTACTGCTGTAACACTGTCTTTTTAACATTGCTTCCACAGTGACAATAAAGATCTATTCTCTCTCTATATATATATATATATTTATTTTTAAATATATTTTTTATTTTCATTATACATTTTATTTTTTATTTCTCTTTATTTGATCTGATCAAACAACGAGAAATAAAAAAAAAAGCATATCAAACAAGAGCTCGGGTCTTAACAGGTTAAGGAGGTGAATTTCTTCGTAATCACTTATTTTACGTTTCATATTTTTAATTTATTTACATCATTTTCTAGAAATCTGTTTTCACTTTGACATGATGGAGTCCTTTTTTGGAAAATTCTTTTCAAAACAGCCAAAATAAATCGACCATGATTTAATGTTAAAAAGCAATTGAAGTGAGGGGATTAAAGGAAAAGGGAAGACTATTTTAAATATAGGTACTGTTAAGACAGCAAAAAAAAAAAAAGGACAACAACACAGATCACACACTGCTAATGTTTTATTAGAGTTCATGCATAAGTCAAACAACACAAAGAGAAACGAGAGATGAGGCAACTCAGGAAAGTTAGCAGTCACACAGCACAGCCTCCCTTATCAGCATCTCTTTTCATATTATCCAGTGACGCACAAAGAAACGCGTTGTTCTTCTGCAAAACAGGTCTGAGATGGCGAAGTTATGGGTATGCTGAGATTCAGTTACAAACCACTGACAGAGCTCACACTGAAATAAACCAGGCTGATCCTGGGCGGTACCAAACAGGATAGTAACATGTATTCTTTAAAAACACACATTTGGAGGCTTCTCGGTTTGTTTTGTTTTTTTTTTTCTCCGAATGAACCGAACGTTTCTGCGTTACAGAACGGCTGACGAACACACACGTTTAACACTAAAACAAGGAAACAGAAGGAGAGAGGAAGCTTCCCTTTCGAAATGTGCAACGTTGATGCTTCGTCGAAGGTGTCAGACTCCAAGATCTACATGTCTGCTTTTTTTTTTTTTCTCCATGTGCTTGTCAGTTCGTAAGATTCAGAGTGAGAGAGTAAAAATATGCATCCTTCATGAGATAAATGAGAAAATTGGTGCGATTGTTGTACAGCTACGGATGAGTGAAGAACTGCCTTCAGAAATGTCCATATGTTCACTGTATGAACCAACAAGAAGACCCACATAACCACTAAACAGAACCATGACAAAGAAGATACATTAGCCAGCAGCAATGTAGAAAAAGGAATCTCTGAACTCCATAAACAAAAGCCAAAAACACTAAAACACACACCATTATGACGATTTCTCATTCTGTCCCTAAACAGATTTCATTCCCATTTTAATCCTGCACAATAAAGCGATTTAAAATACTGATCTGAAGAAAGTAATAATAATAATAATAATAATAATAATCGTGTGGAATAAATTATCTCTACGCCTCAAACGGTTCTCATTAATTACACCCGGCTAACTGATGTACAGTACATGTTGAAAGGTAATGCGACCGTCAAAGTGCGCTCTTGTTTGAAGCTTGTTGTGATTGCGTAACGTGTTGAATCTATTATTGTCAAGAGTAAAATGTCTCATTTATAGCACTACGTCTGCAGCGAGCTCATTTCTGAAAACAAATGTCAGGCTGAAAGGTCAGGCCTTTTAAGATGTCAGCGTAAAGAAATAAAGGAGAAATGCACCAAAGTAACCATCCTGTAGTGTGAATTCTCATTACATCCCTAAACAAAAACAAAAAAAAAAAGAATTTAGAGTCAAAAAAATGTATTAACAACCAAATTATCCAGACTTTTCCTTCCATATTCAGAAGGAAAATAACACAAATTTGGTCCTCTAAGTCTCATTTTTAGGACAAACAGCACTCAAAAAGGAGTTAAAACCTACAGTCACCGAGTTAAAAACTCCCCCAATAACAGCATGTGTCTCTTCAGCTAAGAATCAGTGTTCAGCATAAAGATGAATACATAAACGAGGAATAATTCAACAGTATTGTTCAGCAGATGGAGTTACAGTTTTCCTCAGTCGCTTTGGTGCATTTCTCAGATCAGAATTCTCAAAACGATTCGAGAAACGAACCAAAGCGACTGAGGAAAAACTGTAAAAAACCAACTATAGCAGCGTCGGGCTAATAAATCTCAGCAAAAATAATCTCAAATCTGTTGTGACCAGCAAATCATCGGAGCTTTTCAAAGAAAGGCAAGATTTAGAGGAAGGTATGCGAACACATTTGTTGGTACGATGTGCAATGAGGCCAATCACAAAAGCTAAATTCCCTTCTTCGACATCATTTTTTTAAGCTAGTATCATCGCATGTACTGTATATTATTCCCTTTTCTTGAAAAAGCTGAGGTACATCCCTATTGTCAAAGCAAGTGGAACATAAACCCTTTTTTTTTTTTTTCTCTTCAAAAATCTACATTAAATTACCATCTCTTTCATACATATGTAGCTTAAATATACATACAACTAATAAACTTGACATTTGTCATTTACAGATTTACAATTCAACTCAGACGGACTTGCAAAGGGACTGATACGAACACCAAAACAAGACCCTTGTAGGCATGATCAGTGCTTCGGCCTATGATGGACATACTCTGCAATAACAGCCATAAAGCTTCTGTAGGGGTAAAATAGTAAAAGTCTGGTGTTGTTAATTTGAAGGATTAATTAGGAAATGGATTTCCTACTAATGACGTTTTTCTTTATAAAACTCTATGCTGTTTTATCAGGATTAGCTGCAACATGAAGCTCTGCAGTCCACAACAGGCTGAAGGAGATTCTTTACACATAAGAAGGAAAAAGCAGGCTGCCTCGTCGGCTCTGACACTGGTGACATCCATCGTCTGGTGGCGTAGCAAAATAGGCCTTTTTTTTTTCCCTTACTGGTGAGAAATTAACAGAGAGCATTAGTAATTCTCTTTTTATAAGGAGAGCGTGTGCAAAACTCTTGTAGTGTGACTCGATAGTGTTGTGATCGGTCGGAGCGGAGGCGGGCGTGTCTCAGTGTCAGGTCAGTCTGTCCTCGGGTGATGCTGCTCAGCTGGTCGGGTCTAAGGCTGGGGATCAGAGATCAACAGGTGGGAGGTCTACATGGCGAACAAAGCGTCCTCCGGTCTGTCTGGCTTCTTGCGACTTGGGGTTCCCTGCGCCGCTCCCGGGTTGCCACTCGGGGGCGACGGTAGGCCGGGGGCCATCTCAGCAGCTTTGGCTCTCTCCTCCAGGAACTTATCAAATTCTGGAGCAAAGAAAGGGGAATGAAAAAGCAGGATGGAAATGTGAATCTGAGAAGAGCTGTGATCAAAATGGAGCAGAGCTTTCTGTAGTCCTACCTTCACTTGTGACGCCTTCCTCGCCTTCATCCCCTTTCTGTTAAAAAAGAAACAGCAATGTCACACCTGCGACTTCACTCTGCCTAATGTAGCGCACTGCAAACCACCACAAACCAAAAGGCAGACTCTGATCCTTTGCATGTGCCCAAAACCACCAATTTAAACAAAACCAGTGAACATTATTTACTCCCTCAATTACCAGCCAGGTTTTCATGTAGAACAAGGAGCCACTTACCCGTCGTTCACCCAAAGCTGGGCTGCTCATTTCACAGGTTGTTTTTAAACCAAATCGAGTCATATTACCACTAAGTAATGCAACAAATCCTCAAAAGCAGGTGCAAAATGAGCAGGAACCCTTGTGTTTTATTTATTGCTCGCTTTAAAATGGTTCAGGTTAGTATATGTTGACGGTTATTCCAGGATGAGACGACAGGAGTTTTGGGCAGAGTTACCTTTATGTCACCTCCCCTGACAAGGGGAGGAACAATCTGGTCACCATCATCATGATATTAAATTTGTTTCATATTAAAGAGTTAAAATCTGTAAGATAACAATTATTGTGCTAGCAGCAGTGCTAAGAGCAGCAATGCTAAACAGTGTAGCCACTGAAGCTAACTTTAGCTGAAGAATATGCAGTGATGTTTCAATGCCAGACTAAGAGCCGATTGTTCTACCTTCACATACGAGGTGTGTCAGAAAAGTTCCAGGACTGGCGTCACAAAAGATGTATTTCAAACTCCAACGACAAACTACGAGTTTTCCCCTTCAGATGATCAACCAGCACGTCTACAAAGACATCCTGTGGCGTTGGCTTCGTTCAGTGTGCGAGAAGAGGTCAGAGTTGTGGCAGGACAAGTAGTGGCTGCTTCACCATGACAACGTGCCTGCTCACAATGCCCTGAGCATCCAACAGTTTCTGGCTAAGAAGAACATCGCCGTGCTGGAGCTACCTCCCTATTCACCCCATCTGGCTCTGTGGGATTTAGCTCAAGGGGGTCATCAAGGAGACCTGTTTTGAAGACGTGGACGACAACAAGATGGCTGTGACGATGGAGCTGCAGAGGATCCTTCCAGAAGTGCATGGCGGCGTGACAGATAAGGCTGGAGAAGTGACTCCAGGAGGATTATTTTGAAGGGGGAAACTTGTGGTTTGTATTTGAAATATATCTTTTGTGACACCTGTCCTAGAACTTTTCTGTCACACCTCGTATTTGCGTTCAAGAGCTCATGCTCATTTTGCAACATTTTTTTCATGTCAGTTGGTCCCCACAACACACTGTTAGTAACATTTAAGTGAACTATGATATCAAAATGTGAAAAACCACAGAGTGAGGAAATGTAATACAGGATAAATGTGTTATTTTTAGGCTTTAAAAATCGTTACAAAAGAGACAAGGGGAAAACAACAGAGCGAAAAAGGAAAGAGAAGCAAGCAGAAATAAAAATCATGATGGGCTCACCACATCAGTACACAGCCACTCCTCTATGTCATCCATGACAGAGGACTGGCGTCCGACACCCTATGGGGCAGCATCGAGACCACCACAGGTGGCCGGAAAACAGAAACAAAATCCCGCCCGAAACACAACAGAACATGAACGAACTTCAGTGTAAAAATTAAAGGCAACTTAATAAAAGTATTTTTGTAAAGCAAAAAAAAAATATGAAGAAACAGAACAGAAACAAATGTGTATGGATGGTGTCATCACACACTCATGACAGGTATGATCAGGCACACAAAAACAAATTCCACACATCGCAGCATGCTGATTAAGCGGAGGACGCAGTGCAATGCCGGTGAAGATGGATAAAGCAAGCAGCATCATATCAGCGGAAAATGAGCTGCCTCACCCAGTAACCACAAGCTTTTTAAACACAGAAAGTCAGATTTTAACAACAGAAGACAACCCCATAGATATAACTGTCCTTCTTTTTGTACTTGACCAGTCAGCATAGTGATGTGTGAGAACAATTTGAGTTAGTTTGATATTAGTACTGCAGAAAGAGCTAAAATAAGTACCACTGCTTGAGTAATTAAGCAAAGAACCTCGCCAAAAAAACCAGTTGGGATGATATGCAGGTTGGATATTCAAAGTATTCCCATTAAGCTGGAGGGTTAGTTAATCACAAAAAAAGCAAAACTGCCTTTTAAAGACAGTTTTAAGCTCATGTCTTAGGAAGGAAAGCAGCATCCCGCAGCACTAGTGCAAGCATGTGAGGAGGTGTCCGCCTCGCAACAGCTTGTCACACAACACACACACCAATGTTCTATTAGTGGCTATGAAAACACTGAAAAGTACAGAGCAAACAGTGACTGAGACTCACCGCTCCAGCAGTTGGCTGTACGACATCCAGAGTGGGAGGAGCGCCACCAGCGGCGTGGCTATCTTCTGCTGTAGTACTGACACAAATAGACAGAGGCATATTTTTAATTTAATAACACCAAGCCAAAGTTCTCCCTCTTCATTAAAAACGCAGGGATTGGAGCGTAGACTCAAAAACAGGGCCTCTAAGCGCATCCTTACGTCTTGTTTGGTTCAGGTGCGGCTCCAGTCCTGGTCTGAGCAAACACATCAAAGTCGTCCTGGGCAGGTGGAGGCTTACAGCTGGAGAGAGAGCTCAGAGTGCTGCTCACACTGTCTGTACCCATGTCTGGAAGGAGGGGAGGAGGGGGGGGAAATCACTTGAATTTCAAGCTACCATACAGCACACAACAGAATCAGACAGCAGAAAGTCAGTTTTAATTTCACATAGGGATTTGCAACTGTGTCACAAATTGCTAAGCCATCACTGCTGTTGCTGAGGTCATATGCAGAATCAGCAGGGGGCTAAATTAAGTACACATTAAATCTACAGTGGGTAAATAAATAGCTTATTTTTTGGGGAGGAGGTCGAATACGCTTCTTCCTTTTGAGTGTCACATGAACAGCCTTACACCACTCATATCTTGGCATCAAAGTGATTTAACTTGACATAAGGCTGGAAGTAGACCAACACAGATAGCTAAGCTGTGTCCAAAGTTCAACCCGCCCTGCCACCTGAGCCACAGCCGCCCACAACCATAACACAACAAGGTGTGATATATTGTTACCATGGATTTAGTGTTAAGATAACCTGCTAGGTTTAGAATAAGTCTAACAAATTCACCAGTCTTTGTTAATTTATAGTTTTGAGAAAAAAGCCCCAGGAACGTCAGACCAACCCAGACAAGATCTTAAAAATGGTGTTTCCAAAAGTCTGTTTTGGGGTCTGAATGCTCTGGAGCGCTGTGGACGGTAGGTGTAAACGTAGCAGATGTTAGATGATTTAAATTTATAATACATTTGTGTGGATGCAGCCTCTGTGAATATCTCCTCAAGGTGCACGAGCATCCATTCTGTGTGTGTGAGGGAGAGAGGAAGAGGAAGTGGGAGCCAATGAGATGGCAAGTCTGACACATGCTAATTATCCAAATATGCTAACGAGCTCAATATCAACAATTGTTCTGCAGCACTGCAGATCTTTGATATAAAAAAAGAATGTGAATTTTGTTCATTCAAAGTGAACACTCATGTCTAAGGTAGTCCGTACATACCCAGACCAGCCAGGCGGGAAGCCAAGGTGGCCGGGGAGGAGGGTCTTCCAGCAGGGGCTGTGATGGCGGAGGGCAAGCTGCTTGGGGCTGCGTTCGGCATATTACTGACCACCGCCGGGGAACCGGGGCCGAGGTCTATGAGGTTGTCCTCTGTGGCCTCGCTGAGGACCTGATGAATGAGGAATGATGAGACAATTTGGCTCTCATTTCATGTGGGAACAAAGAGAACTAATGACGGTTTCTGGCTCACGAGGAGCAAAACAAATCCTTTAGTGGGAAGCTAAGGAAAGGCAGGGTTACAAAGTACTTGTTCCGTGATTATGTTCGCAAAAGTACATAAAAATAACATTTGTGGGCTAAAATGAAATAAAAATGAATGCATGGTGCATTAACAAGAGTAAGCACACTCTTGAAAAACTTGCTGGGTAGCTTCAGGAGAGCATGAAAATGTCTGTGACTGAAGATAGCAGGTCATCAAACTCACTTTTTGGAAGACTGTTTCTTAAGGGGATTCAAACGTTTTACAGTTTTATTTTGGACATATTTAGATTTCAAAGGTATATCCTCACAAGAAATGGACAAATTAGTCTTTAATTCTATAGTTTATGAGTTCCTACAGATACAGAAATCCCCTTAAGAAGACAGAAGTAGAGCAGGGAGGGAGGAGGGAATCAAATCTTTGGGCTCTGTGGCAGTTGTTCTATCAAGACCATTTTGCAAATCTCAAACGCTGACAGTTTGAGATGATGCAAAACACAACACAGCAGTGATTTTAGGCACGTGTTCATCTTTGTGCCATCTCAAGCTTTGTCTCACTGTCCACTACATCCAGATTCATCGTTTCATTTCTGTCGGGGGGCTGCAGAGTCAAAACATGCCATATGGGGTGAAAAATACTGGTGGAGGCTGAGCCCATACTGTGTAGCCATGTTTCAACAGTTGCTGTGGAGGGGAGGCACTGCTCATTTAGGGACAATATTTTCATACTTGCCTGCCTCAGCTAGCCACAGAAACAGAAGAACAGAAAAGAACAGAAAGGAAGAGACAGTGAATACCATTAGCATGCCTGTGCAGGGACACAATGTAATGGCATGATAACGATGGACGATATACAATGCCTAAACAACTGGAAACCCAATGAGGAGGTGATACAGAGTATCCTTGCCTTATCATCGCTTTTTATCAGATGCTTTTCCAATGTTTATGGCCTGATAAGTACATACAGAGGTGAAACAACAGGAAGCTGAGACAAGGCACGAAGCAAAGGGGGGGATGTAACGCACAGCACATAGGATTCATCAAGCGAGCAGCGGTAAACAAAAGGAAATGTAGCTCTTTTTTTGGCACAACAAATGGAAGCTGATCTACAGTAATGGAGCTCTCATGTGTTACACTGATATAAAAAAAAAGGTATATACAAGTAACATAAAACTCTGAGTGACAATGACTGTAACATGATGTGCTGCTGTCAGGGTATTTTGGCTGCTGATAACAAAAGCCCCCATTTGGCCACTAAAACCCGCTCCAAAGCTACGACTGAGCTGTTATTTGTGTTTTATTCTGGAGTGGATAACACGAGTGCAACACAATCAGCCCGATTCCAACCACGAATGCGGTGACTTTTCTTTGCATTTACTACTGTATGGTCACAGTCAACGTTTCCCCCTACTGGACGGAACCTAAACGCTACAGGCGGTGCTTTCACTGCACTGTAGTTACATCGCAAAACAAAACAGAAAATTCTAAATGAATAACAAACAAGTATATATGTTTTCTTTCCATTCTAAGATGAAAGCAACTATATACATGTCTGTGTTGGGTTTCCGTTTAATAAGGCATGTACATCTGTTAAACAGGTTATAAACACAGCACTTGAAAGACATCGTAAAGCCCGACTGGTAATGTAACATGCAGGTCCACACCAAGACACTGAGAGGCGGGGCGGTAAGAGAATGTGAAAACATGAGCAGAAAATCAACACTGGGACACAGAAGAACCAGCTCGGAAGATTCAATGAGAAAATCCGGGAATAAAAAAGCATGATGCCAACGCTGGGTGTTTCACCACTTGAGGTAATAATGCTGACTCACCCCGTTGTTGACACTCTGAGCCGAGGACCTCCCAGACCTAAACCTCTCATACCTGAAGCAACAAAGAGAAAACAGGATAGAGATGAACAAAAAACTATTGTGTTTACCAAACCTGTGCAAATACATAATATTGTCAGTGTGTAAAGATGAGCTGGAATGTGTGCACTTTCTCAAACATGGCTTCTGCATTTGTACAATATGTATTTTCGCTCGTGTTTTCTAACCTTTCGTAGCGAAGGAAAATGTTGTTGAGGTCGTCATTGACATGCAGGAGCTCCTCAGTCACTGCCTCATTAGAAACGCAGGAGATGAGCTCAACTATCCTCTGCTGCATGGCTCTACAAGTCCTGTTCAGCTCCTAAACCACACAAACGCACACAGGACATAAACAGAAAAGCGCAGTGATCTCAGGTTAATGTTCTCTTAATGGTTTGTACAGGCATGTTAAAACTAATTTCATATTTGTACATTTACACACACTTCAGAGTACAGAAAAAGACAAAAAGCTGCAATCAGACTGCAGATAAAAGTATCCTAAATCCCTCTTTCTCTCTCTTTTTTTTGGCTCATTTGTGGTTCAAATGTATGTTTTTTTTTTTTGGTGTGAGCACATGGCATGTCATCTTCTCAATTCTGTTTGGACGTGGTCCTAAACCAGACACAAGTGTGATCTTTTGCAATGTGATCTCAGTCTGACCAGTCATATAAAAAATGTATGCGTCTTTTATGTCAATCTGGAGCAACATTGGTCACAATTCTAGCTAGGTGGCAGTCACTCAGCGAATTCAACAGGAGTTTGCGGTGCCAAACAGGTTAGACAACATGTGGTAACCTGCAGCTGTTACCCGCCACTGCACCCGGACTTTTAAATGCTTTGTCAGGGAGATGGGTCACCTGAACCAAGTGTCTTGCTGAGGAGAGTTGCAGAGAGGTGCTGACCATATCATTTAAAGTAGCAACGGACATCTTGAAATTTTGGATATACTCTATTTCAGTGAAGCCAATCATGCACCGAATCCAACACTCCTGGTTCTGACTCATCCAAACATGCATCCACACACACACACCTGCATACAGAGGCAGCAAAAAAGCTCCATAAAAAGCCATAGTTAAAATTTTGTCTCGCTTTCTCCTCAAGCTCATTAGCTTCCACTGCACATTATCTTCTAAAGGGAACGCTGACTTCAATGGCCTTCGTGTTCCTCCCGTGCAACAATGTGCTGCACGTAAAGTCTTTGTTCTTTTGTTCATGTGGTTCAGTTAAGGACAGTGGCCAATTCACAGTGGAATCTGATATTGGCCACATTTTAAAAATAATGTGAGCAGCCAGACAAAAAAAAACAACAAAAGCACTGAGGATTGCAGTGTGACTGTAGCCATAGAGACAGAAAGAGACACACAAAAAAAGAAGTCTCTTGCCTGTAGTAACTCATAGTCTGAAGCGTCTTCCTGTCCAGGCACCATCTCAGTCAACATCTCTGACATCACCTTGGTGTTCCCACGGACAATGTCCAACTCACTGCGTAGCCGGCAAATCTGGATGACATAACAGGTGAATACAGTTTGTTGTTATGAAGCCTTGTGTGAAAAAACATTTCAATCAGCGGTGCTGCATAGGACGGGGAGTCAAAGATACCCAAAGAGAGGATTTCCAATCAATATGGGGAAATGACAACTCGACAAAAAACAGAAATCTAAAAATACATATTCACATTATTGTGGTAAAATAAAAGGAAAATAAACAGCCAAGTATGATTTAAATTCGACAATTCTTTCCTATGGTAAATGTACAAAATGTGCATCAACCTGAGTCAGCTGTAACACACCTAAAGAACATGTTACATTTATGAAAGTGTGCAAAAATGTTAGCAGTCAGAAAAGTTTAAATTGCTACCCGAAAGTACTAGATGAATAAAAAAGCTTTCTAAAAGCAATGAACAAGCTGAAATAGGTGGCAATAAACAGCAAACCATGAAGAGTTAAACAAAACTGGTAAAAGTTTTTCAATTACCATTTAAAGAGTTTGCTAAAACTCATTAAAAAAGGGAGGAATGTCTAGTTTAAGCCTCGACAAGCAAACATATCTGGAACATGACGAGGTGGATAAAGTGACGCTTGAAGTCAGCTGAGCTACTCCAGACAAACAAGGTTGAGATTGAAGTAGGACATTTTCCCACCGAGCATGTTTGCAGCAGTGTGTTCATAGCGTAGAGTTTTAATTTGCTTTGTTTGGATGCTAGTAGGAGGTGAATACAAACTGGAAAATCTTCAGTTGCAGTGCAGTTATGATAACACCACCGTACCTGTTCAGGTGTAGGATTGATGGATCCAGAGGCATGAATATTGGGGACCTGAGGGGTGGTGTAGGCTGGTGGGACAGCGTGTGGTGCGGGCTGAGTGGTGGCGCTGTACTTATGTAGGATGGCTTCTCCCTCTGGAGCAGATGCCGACTTGATACAACAGAGAAGGAGATGACATACATTCAGGATGTGACAAATTGCCTGAGAGGATCACATTGCGCTTGATCTTAGCACAAAAACTTCAGCACTTATTCAGACTGCTGAGTGCGATGCCTCCTACCCGCTGAGGTGTGTGTATAGGTGACAGGGTCTCCAGCTCTGACATGGGGAACTCTATGCCTTTCCTCTTTAACTCCTCATAGATTTGAACCACACCTGTGAGGTCAGGACTGCTCCTGAACGCATCAGCCCATGCCTGGAGAATGCAGAGTCAGACAAGGGTTAAAAGGAAAAAGAGTGTAAAAAAAAAATACTGGGTAAAGGGAGGGCTGACACAGCAAACAAAGTAAGTGATGTGAGAATAGTAAAAGGAGCCTGTTCTCTGATGAGTTCTGTTTGTTTGGCTTGAATACATTCCGTCAGCAAACCGCAGCGCTCGGAGCTAGACTGGGCCATTACAGCAGTTCAAACACACGACAAAACAACGGTTTAAAAACAAGTGCACAAGGACTTTGAGGTAGTTCTTGATCCAAAAGTGCTCGACTTTAAACTGCAAGCCAGTGTGATCTAAATTCAATTTTCCACAACAACTCACTTCCTTTGGTTAAACCGTGTCTAAAAGGAACATGAAGCCTGTGCCAAACCAATACCAATAGAGTTTGCCTTAGAATGATTTTAAACCTACATGTCCTCAGGACTAGTCTCACATGCAAACTTTTATCAACTCCAAGGTACACTCATGAACACCTGAGAGATGAGACAGGTGCCCAGAGAGCTTCACAACACAACCACAACCACGTGGGTGTTATGCATCATGCAAAAATAAAGCCCACAACGCTCCAGCTGTTGTGTGATGGGAGCGTCACTCTGTAAGTTTTCCCACACAGATTTCCCAGCTGAGCCTCCTGTCACAAACTTCTTTGTCTAAATATTAGACAAACAGATTCTCCCCTCTCCCTCAGAGATACTATATGCCCCCTCCTGGATCCATGATGTAAGCTGCGGTCACATGGTGTCCCCGGTGGAAATAAGAGCAGCCCACATGAACCTCGCGCGGTTACCTGAGCTGTGACAGGTAACTAGAGCTGCTCCTGGCTGAAGCCCTGGAGACAGTGTGCTGTACCTGAGGCACTGCCAGGGGATGACAGGCCACCTCCTGGACTGCAGCACAGCCACACATAATGTAATAAACACCTACGCCACACAACTCACCTCTCACTAACCGACTCAATCAGAAATACTTGCTTTCTCTCACACTCAAGTACATTATTATGGAAGAAAACACATGCACCTCCAAACCGAGACTAACGACATTCAATGTTACCGTTATCTTACCTGAATCAGGGCGAGCACTTTATCTTGAACGATGGTGGGCGGGTTGTTTTTAGGAGAGATGATTTTAACAAGCACACCGTCCACAAAGTCCCTGCTTGTCACTAAAGCATGAAAACGATGGCCGCAGTTCTTCACACACGTCTCCAGAACCTGTTAGATAACAGGAAATTCTTTTCAGAACATGCTAACACACAAACAGCGAGTCAAATCCTCTTATAGACAAGTTTACAGTTTTACAACAAAGATATAGAACAGACATAGTATTTTAGATTGATTGCAAATTAGGTGGCTCTAAGTGATCTGCACATAGAATATTATATGATGAGAGAGAAAACACACATTAACACACATATTTAATTAGTGACCTATTCATCTGATCGCTACATTAGAAGAACTAGAGTATTTTATTAAATGCTGGTGAACACAGTGCAGCTGCATTCCTCCCTCCTACTTTAACTCACCGTTAAAGCCAGCATCACTTCCCTATAGTTTCTGTTGCCATTGAGTCTCTTCTTGACTGCTCTAATGGCATCCTTTGGCCTGCACACACATAAACACACAGGTTAAAGCGCACAATAAACATTCAAGGTTAGACCAGCACAATGTGCCCATAGCTTTCATCTCGCCTTGTAAGACATGCCAAGTACAACAATCGCCGAGAAGTTAATGGCTAAAGGCTTTAAGTGGCATTGTTGGACAAACAGCAAGAATTGGGAAGCTGAATACCCAAAACACATGTCAATGATTCTTTGACTTGTCACAATCTTGGAACAAGTTGTGACCGTCCTACTGCATGTCAGAAATAATTAACTTTCCCTCACTACTTTTAACAGATCAAATCAGTGTTAGAGCAGCGGCTGTGCGACGCCCCTTGCATTCCCTGTAGATGAGAAACAAGAAAGGGTCAGACCTCTTTTTATAGACTGCTGATTTAAAAGCACATCATTCCAGGCTAGACCCACCTAAGCCAGTTTACGAGCCACTAATCAAACATGACCTGGACTTCACACACCAGCCTTAAACATACAGTACAAGGTTAATGGAACAATGAGATAAGCAATGGGGCCTTGCATAAAGCCGCCTCACACAGGCGGTGCAAGATTTCTTCTCTTACTAGGACACAGATAAGAGGGGAAAAATGGAAAAGAGTGACTCTATTTCCATATCTTACAGCAGCTAGTCATTATGCAAAAAAAGCACAGAAACATTGAGTTAAACCAGTGCACAGAAGAGTTAATCAACATACATGGATATTCATTGATTTTTCTGTGGGTACTCACCCATCTTCTGTTTCATTGATGATGTCACATATTTCCATGTTGAGGGTCCAGTCTTCACTTTGCAAGGAGCCATCAGTGGCTCTCTCTGAAACACAAAGGCAGTAAATTAAGAAAAAGCGACGTTTCAACAAAACACAGCAAAACCAATTATGTGACGATGACTGGTGGCTAGCTAACTGCTAGCAAACTCAGCTATTAGTCACCCTCTAAGACAGAAGTAATTGTGTTCATTAATGGTTTAAGCACTGACCTAGCAACTGACAATAGCAAAAAACAGACCTTGAGTTAGTTAACAGTCATTCAAGCTCAGTGACAGCAGATGTTACCGTAACTACTAGTTAGCTAGGCGGCTAACGGTGGCTTCCCAGCTGTAGACAACTCATTCAGGGACGTTAGCATGCTAACGCTACCAAACCCGTAAACGACTATAGCTCAAAATAGACACGCTCCCAGGACAGACACGCGAACCTGTCCGCAATGTCGTTTCTTAAATATTTAGTTACCTACCAATGCAATGCCCCACTGGGGTACTGTAAGGATTTCCCAAAAGGAACTCCATCTTGCTCGACAACAAACAAGTCAGTCCATGGGATGATAATGATGATACATGAGGAAACATCCAGCAAGTCCCGCCCACGCATAAACGTGATTGGCCAAAAACTCCTGACCTTAAATGTGATTGGACAACTCGAACACTTATCACGAGAGCAGGGCGATTGTAAATAAAGGGACCCAAAGGTTGCAGCAATAAAATTCAAATTGAGATTTCATGCATATGTGGCATTGATTCTGGCATTTTGTAATGCAGACATAAAAGATCTGCACAAGATAGTAAGTTATGACATCTGTGAAAGGCTTTGAATCATTCAGATTTTATTTAACGATGAACTTTGCTGCCATTATCAGTTGAAATGACACACAGTCAGATAATATTCTTTTATCATTCTCTTAATCTGTGTCAACTATAACAGCAACAAAACCCCACTGGATGAGGGTGCAGTCCATTTTTCTGCTAAAAGTCCTACTTTTTCTAAATACTTAGAAAAAGAAAGAGGCTTTCTCAGTACATCACCACAGAAAAAAAAACAAAAACATGATAAATACACCAGGGTTGGTTAATTACATGAAAAATAACCTGAATGCAGAATGTATCACATAATGCAACTAATTATTTCTCACATGCACAGTGCCTTTATCAAACACTAAACAGTATAAATTGGACAGAGTGCTTTTAGGAAGCACAAGCACTCTGCTGTATTCACAGAAAAAGCGGGCATGAGAACTAACATTCCACCATCAAACAGGCAACAACAACCATCCAGCCAGTGTTCAAAATGTCACGGCTGACTGAGAACTGTCTGGAAACTCTGTGAAGAGTGTCATACTTGGCAGCTGCGACATATAAACATTGCAAAAAAGACAGCCAACGTGTTTTACTGGATTGAAATGACTCTATAACAGATCAGTGACAGAGCAGCTGTCACTGCTAAATAGAACAGCTGGGATGTGTGATGTTTGTCTGTATGGAAATAGACGTGTTCAAACAACTCAGGTGGTTCGGGGTATTCTCTGTTTGAGGGTAGATTTCCTGCGAGTTCTCTGTAAGTTCTGTCTCAGTCCTGCATAAGTTTGCGTTTGATGGTTGAACTCTCAGACGAGAGGTGGACAAAAAGAGCTCCAGCTGCCGTCCGTGCCCTCAGCTCATACATGTCGTAGTCATGGGCCCACTCCACATTTCCCCAGCGTCGAATCTGTGAAGGAGGGGAAAAAAAACAGGTTGGAGGAATAAACTGAGAATAACTTAGGTTTGTCTGCCTTAACATGCACACACACATCAGATATTTGGAGAATTTCTGCAAAGCAAACAAGAAAAACCAGGGCTCAGAAAAGCAAAGTCAGCCTCTACAAGGGCCTGTACATTGTGTGCTGCCAAGTTAGTCTTAATGGGGAAACACTATGACAACAGAAGAGGGTGCTGTTTCTCTGGCACAACCGAAACAAACTTTTGAAGTTTTTGGCAACAACAGATGCAGGGGAATGACAGTTTTAACAATAAAATGTTGGTAAAAAATGCTGGGTGCCCTCTGCATACCTGGTATTCCTCCTCCAGTCTGGATAACAGCACAGCCTGCTCCACACTCAGATGTCTGTCAATCATCCCCAGTGACAGCACAACAGACTTCAGCTGGGTGATCACATATTCAAGACCTGCACAAGAGCAATCATAAAAGTGTAAAACCTTTCAATAGCACTATTGCTGTCAATCATAAAACTGATTACTAGTATAGTTAATAATATAGCTATTCCACTTGCCACATCATCTCACCCCCTCATCATTTTCTTGCCCCATTTACAGCTACCACACAAGCAAAACAAAGCACCAGAACTACAGACAAAAGCATATCGTATATAAATCAATGTTCATTTTATCTCAGATCAGTTAGGGACTTCTTACCTGTCAAAGACCAAAAATTGTAAGAATTAAGGTGCTGCCGGAACGTATCTCTGGTTGCCTCAGGAATCTCAGGACCCAAAATACTGGATGAGGAGCCAATAGTGACATTATATCTGCAATAAAGTGGTGGGAGACAAAGATTAAAGAAAGTACTTAATTTACATCATTTGGGGGTTTCAATGCCAGACTATGTGCCTTAGCCATGACAAAAGCTGCTGCTATTATACCTATTTTCGATCCAGTGGAGCACAGGGTCCCACTCATTCTTCTGTAGCTCAACCAAACCATGGGGCTCATCTACTCTGTAACTACACAAAACATAAAAACGACTCACATCACAACCACAATAACTGCAAGAAACGGGCAATACCAACATTTTAACAATGCAAGAACACATGCAAATAACCAGCAATGTGTGAAATCGAAAGCCCCTTTCACATAACCTTTATCAGCTTTACTCCACCTGTGCGTAAAACACAGAGAGGCAATGAAGGTAGTCACAGATGAATGATGTCTTCATGAAAGGGAGAGCTGGCATGGTGGGACACGACACACTAGACACTAACGCTGTTGTGCTACACGTCACGCCTGATTCCAGAATGCTGTAATTTTTTTAATTTAATGTGAACAATCAACAGTGGCATAATGAGGAGGTCTTCTTGGCTGAATTACAGACTCTATGTGAAAGGGGCTCAAGACAACAAACTTATTCAAATACAGAACAGAATTTTTTGCTGCAGCATTCAAAATGAAGCCACAAAAAAACAGTTAATTTCATCCTTTTGTTGTTGTCTTGCGTCGATGTCTTCCACAAATTTGGATTTAAACTGAAAGTGTGTCATTTCATTAAAAATATGGACATTTAATACCTATGTTGTCATTGTGTCAGTTCCTCTTTTGCAGGCATTAAATGCAGTGATGTGTAAATATTGATTATAGTGACTGACAATCCCTATTAGAGAAATTAATAAAACAAACTCTGGCTTGATATGAATGTGTGAATAAATTACTAGTATTAGTAATAAAAAAAAAGTGAGGTATACCAGACAGTGTCAGTCTCCAGAAACTTCAGAGCTGCATTGATCATTTGGTCCTTGTTGCGTTGGGTAGGATTGTCCAGAGCTGTGTTGCACAGAGTGGTCTGCAGGAAGAGATGACAATACCAGCTCAAGTTTTGATTTAACACCCTGAACTAAAGACAGGAAGCAATTACAAACGTAACATGCATAAATGAGTAGCAGCAAAGTTTGCTGAGAATCACTTCACAATTAGTCCTGGAGTAAACTTTTGTGTGCCGATAGAGGATCTGGGTTTAAGCACTTTTTAGACTGATTGTGTCGTTTTGAATCCTCACAACCGTCTCACAAAAAGAAAAAGTAACTGTCAAGTCAACTGATGCATAGTATGCAGTTGTTGATTTCTAGGGCATCAATGTAGAGATATTAAATGCCGAAACCAAAAAATGTGTAACTGAAAATGCATGACAACACATGAATAAAGCAACTTCAGACATCTACATATTAAGCAAACCTAAATGCACTCTGACAATAAAGATGACAGGATTCCTCCAAAAAACTTGCTGGCAGGGGTGGTAATAACCAGAAACACCTCATCTTGTTAGTAATACAGTTTCAAGATAACTTTTTAACAAATAGCCAATCTTTTCCCTCTTTTCCCCGATGCTTAAAGAATCTAACATTACATATTGTGAAACTATGGGCGTCTTTTAAAATGAGCAGAACTGCTTTTTATTTTAAGTGAGGCAGACAGGTGCCATCACTGTGACACATTATAAGAAATGCTGAATCTACTCCCAGGTTAAATGCCGTACCATGTGCATCGTGTAGAACTTGAGCGTTTCCCTTTGAGCATCCCATTCGGTTGCCACGGCGATGGCCAGGGCTTCATTTGGCACCGTGAACAGCTTTCCTCCTGGAGTTTTTAGCTTCCTTCGGTCGAGGTTTACCTCATATAAACCCCCTATATAAAACATAAAAAAAAGTATAATAAACATATTCATTTTGGCACAAGTATGGATAAGAATACACTGATTCTTGAAACATGCTCATGTATTGAATAATAATAAAAGCTAATTTCATAGTTGTGAGCATTATTTTACCTTTGTGCTGACTACTGAAAAACATCTGAGACAAAACAACCTGTTTTCTCAAACGCATGAACACACAACTACTATGTTTGACTTGATTCATAGTGATATTTGACACTCACCTTCACCTTGGGATATGGTGACATCTTGATAAAATCTCTTTCTCTCTGGTTAAAAGAAGAACATACCATCAATGGGATTAAATCACACAAATCCACAGCAGAAGACAGAGGTTTCATCCAGTGTTTATGTATCTTACCTGCTGTGGCTGTGGAGTATTTCAAAGCACACCTAGGATGTTGCCTTCTTGGACACACTTTACTGAGAGACAGGACATTTCCAAACTTGACAATACTTCTAAACATAGTGGAGACGAGATGAAGATGTTTTTAAGCAAAGATCCAAAAGAGAGACTTCCCTTGAAGCTAGCTGTCTCTGATAGTTCCTGGGCTAACAATGCAGCATTATACGAGTATGTACTTTTCCTATTACCGCTAATTCTTGTTTATTCTGCACTGCTTAGCTGCATAAAGTCGCTACGTCTCCATGTACTGCTTCACATTTCTTTCTCATCTTTCTAGTAGCTCCGACGTTCAAAAGCACGCGTCTGACCTTCTGTGCTTGACAGCGTCGCATAGCCTCCTTAGTGTTCGGGAAATGTAGTTTTTAAGTGCCTCTGCGCTCCCTTACACAACACCAAAAAAAACTACACCCAAATGTTCCCATAAAACCTTCCGCTCGTTGAACCAATGAACTGTGGCGATGTTTGCAAGGTGAAGTCCGTTGACCAATAAGAGGGGCGGATACTCCCTGCCACAGCGCGGCGTCGAAGTCCACTTACTTCTGTGGCAGCTTGGTGCCTGATAAACTGAACTGTAGCGGAATTAAGTGGAATTTGAATGTTGGTGGACCTCCTCAGCCGGCCTCCGCCTCTTCGTAGACGCCGACAGAGTCCCACGTCCAGACGGCCATTGACCGCGGTCGGTGCCCAAGCCAGCGAAGCGGGAGCCATGCCTGTCCCCGCTGGATACCTCAGCGACTCCCCAGCCGCGGCCTTCGCATCCTCGGCCTCACTTATCCCGCCGCCTCCGATAAACACCCAGCAGCCCGGTGTTGTCACTTCGCTCCTGTACAGCGGCTCCAAGTTCAGGGGCCACCAGAAGAGCAAAGGGAACTCTTACGACGTGGAGGTCGTTTTACAGGTGGGGCTGTGAGGCGGATGTTTGGTTATTCGGTCGAGATGTCAGTAGGGGGGTTTGGTGATCTGTCAAACGGGCGGTGTGATGATTGACAGCTGGAAAATCAGTCCTGGCCTGTCCTGGAGAAAGTCGCCTAGCTAGCTGTGGATGTAGCACTGCCTACGACTGCACACAACACAGCCTCTTTCAGCTTTAAACACACATTTTATTAAATGTTTTCGTGTTTCTAAGCTATTTTATTATCATAGAATACTGCTAAAGAGATTGAATCATTTGTGGCTTCTTCATTTAATTGAGAACAACCAAAACAAAATGCATGTTTATGGCTGTTATCACCCATTCATTACTGTTTAATACAGAAGGAACTACCTGTTACAGACATGAGATGAATGTCAACATTGGTATTTATTTTCTGTTTAAAGCATGTCACCATGGAGGATTCCTACTTGTGTGGCTACCTGAAGATTAAAGGACTGACAGAGGTGAGAACATTAGTTCCCTTTATTAATCCACTGACATAAATGAGTCAAACAGTGTCTCACATCATAAATAAGCACTCCGTCCCATGGGAATTGTTGGAGATTTTGACGTATTTAGACGAAAAAAAACATTTGATCTTCTTTATATAGAGTCTAAAGATAAAGGTACACATGACAATGAGCTATTTTCTTATGTTAGTCATCAAAAATCTCAATTGATGTTATAGATGTTCTTCCACAGGAAAGATAAGAGCCAGTGTTGCCCCCTTGAGCAAACTACCTTCTTGTTCTTATTTTGCATGATTTATCTACCAGTCTCTGACATAAGCCTGCTGACATTTGTGACCACCCCTTAAGGCAAAATTCCTTTAGTTGCAAGGTTTTTTTTTTTAACATTTTTTTGGCGTGTGCTGCCTGTTTGAAATCCCCCACAACATTTACTGGGATTCAAATTTGGGCTTTGGCTCGAGGCCATTCATAACCCTTCATTTCTTCTTTTTGAGCCATTCCTTGGTGGATTTTCTAGTGTGGTTAGGATCGTTCTCCTGTTGAAAGGTCTGAAACTTTTGGATGGATGGCTTTGCATGATCTTAAAGCTTTGATATGATGCAGAATTCATAGTTGAACCAGTGACTGCAGGCTGCCCCGCGAAGAAACCTCAAACCGCGACATTTCTACCCCCATGCTTTACAGCTGGCACTCAGTTCTTCTTTTTGGTCTGCACCGAACATTTCCATTGTTACTGTGGCCAAACAGCTCAATCTTCGATTCATCTGTCCAGAGCACATTACTCCAAAAGGCCTGTTCTTTCTCTATACGTTCACTGCCTGATGCCTGTGGTTTTGCTCGAATGTTCTTTTTGGACAGCAAAGGTTTCTTCCTGACACGCCTCCCATGCAGGGCAAATCTGTGCAGTCTCTTTCTGATAATAGACGAAGCACATTTTCGAGTTATTAAAGTGGAATAATTTATTTTAAATTATTTGGAGATCTTTTTAAATCCCTCACCAGACTCATAGCCGTCCACAGTCTATTTTCCTAAAGGCTTAGATGGTTCTTTAGATCTTGGCATGATAACACATTTGAAGAGCGCTCTATAGCCTGACACGTTTAAGTAAGACAGGATTAATCTGTCACTTACTAGGGTGGTTTGCATATGATCTGTGACACCTGATTCTAATTTTATGGATTTGAAGGTGTGAGCATGTTTGAGTGTTCCCCCTGTTATTAAGAAACATTATTTAAAAGAGGATCAAACGTTTTCTTGTTCAAATATACTGGAAAAAGTCTGCAATTGCTATTGGATTGTTTTTTTCACACGACATTGGCTGTGTTTGATGACCTTTTCAGTGGACAGTACAGCCGGTTTCAGGCCTTTTTTTTCTTTTTTGAATCAAAGAATATGCCATGATAAACCCCTCAACAGGTTTTCACATTAAATCTTTGTCACAAGCTTATATGAGCAAGCAGCGCAAACATCGCTGAACATGAACCCTACATGGTTGTCTTTACAATTTGCTAATGATATTGTTTTAAATTGCGATTTTGATTTGAATCATCCCTACATCCTAGTGTACAATATGATGGCGCATGTCACTGTATATTTTCCTGCTTTTACAACCAGCATGGCCACTTTCTACCTTGTACTTTGTTGTAGAACAATCATGTTCTGTTGTTTTAATCCAACATTGGACTGACAGATTTAACCATTAGCATTGCCCGTTGCATCACTTCCAAAGGGTAGAAAACGACATCTCTTGGGTTGGCAAACAAAACAAATCATGACTGAGTGTTCCTCGCTCTTGGTTGCCCTTTTAGGAATATCCAACTCTGACCACATTCTTCGCTGGAGAGATCATCAGCAGGAAACGGCCGTTTCTCACTCGGAAATGGGATGCAGATGAGGATGTGGATCGTAAGCACTGGGTAAGATGAAACCTTGTTCATTCATAATCTACGAAAGTGCTCCACAGCCGGCTGGTTCTCTGTGATGTAATCCAGTTTACTTTCTGTCCAAAGGGCAAGTTTCAGGCCTTCTACCAGTACGCAAAGACATTCAACTCTGATGATTTTGACTATGAAGATCTGAAGAACTCCGACTATATTTTCATGAGGTGGAAGGTAAGAAGCTACCAAAATCGAGCTTGACCATCCAGTGTGTTGTATTAAGTCACCTCTGAACTGCATTTCTCACGCTGCCCGTCCCTCTCAGGAGCAGTTTCTGGTCCCTGACCACACAATCAAAGACATCAGCGGCGCTTCCTTTGCTGGATTCTACTACATTTGCTTCCAGAAATCCACAGCAACAATTGAGGGCTACTACTACCACCGGAGCTCTGAATGGTAACGCAGCACCACACAAGTTACTGTGACATAAAGTTAGGTCGTTTTTAGAAACATTAGCAAGTGGACTTGCTATTGAAAAGTTGCTGGATCAAATCCTAGACCAGCTGCAAAATCTGGGCAGGAAAAGTCATTAAGAGACACAGTTTCTAGGTTTCTGCAGCTTTTGTCAAGGTGCCCTTTCTTCCACATTGCTCCTTGGGAGCTCAGATAATTAGTAGATGAATGTGGCTTTTTCAAACAGTTCCAGGTTAAAATGTGTAACTTTATATGGATGCAGCAGAGCGGTCCAACCCGCAGTTTGTTGCATTTGATTTATGTGGTCGTACTGCCTGGTTATAAGCAAACTCAGCCCTGCCTGCACTCCATCTTTAGTGTTTTCATTTTTATTTGACATTCTTTGGCATTTCTTTCAACTCCCTCCGCACATAAAGGTTTGGCTATTGTTGCAGAAGCCCTGTGATTTTTATTCCATCCCATTTTCATTTCAGTTTTCTATTCCATTTTGTCTGTCCAAAGGCTTGGAAGCAGTTTTTGCTGCCTTCTTGGACTGCGTTTTTATTTTATGCCATTTTTCAAAAGTGCAAAACGAGAAAACAGTCAACACTTGTGTCACATTTATTACGCAAATCAGAATTGTGAGCAACAAAAACATGAAGAAAAATGTGACTTACCGTCACGTCATTTTTCTCATCAGTAAATGTCGACTTTCAGATGCCAATATTCATCCTATTTTCAATCTTTTTTTTTCAAGCCTTTCATTTTGGGTCTGTTTTTGACATACTGGACCACCGTTCTGTTGGAAGGACTGAGAACAGCAAATGAGTTACTGTTAATATGATAGATGTTGTTCAAACTTAGTTGTTTCCTGGAAAAATAATTAAAGCATGTTGTTGAAGCAGTGTGTCAGAGAGGCCAAAGTGCTTTATTTTTATTACTATTATCCAGTGAAAACCACCACATATCTCCAAATTCTAGGTTTAGATTTTTTTCCTGATGAACTGAAGGCATTTCTTTGTAGTTTGGAGAAAAAAAACAAAAAACTGCTATGCTTCTCCCTCAAGTCGTTATCTTTACGATTTCCATTCCCATTGAATTGGCAACGCCCAGTATAGCAGTTCCTGTGGTTCCTTCGCTATGGAAGACTCGTGTTTGGCCTGTTGAATGTTTTTAATGTGAAGGAGCGGCAGTGAGATGTCCCATTTGCAACCTCATGCAGCTGCAATACGATGTAAACAGAGTGATCCGTAAATGGTGAGGCTAATCGTGAGAGGATAAATTTATGCTGCGCTGCATTCTTGCATTGTTTTCCTGTGAATATGGTGTGTGCTTGAAGGCAGTTTTAATTTTTGTGTGGGAATGGCAGACTCCCATCACAAAGTAGAACCTACCTGAATGTAAATGCATTATTAGTTTAATTAAAATAAAAAGGTATTTGATTAATAATGGATTATATCATGAAGAAAAATAAGCCACATAAACCCGTGGGATTATCTGGAGAAAAAACAAAGCTGAAAATAGTGGTTGTTTTCCTCAACTTGCTGATGATGCATTGTTTTCACCAGACATCTTGCAGCTTATAAGCCTCGATGAATAAACAAACTTTCCAAGGCATCATATACGTGTT